CAGCCCTGGCGCCGTCCCGAACAGCGACTCTGCCCGGCGTCCCAGCGGGGGGGCACGACGGCCCGTTCGCCTTCGCTTTTTTTAAACAACTGTTTTGGTTGTTTTTTTTCAACACGACTCCTCCCAGCATGCACTCTGCGGAGCACCATGCCTCGAAATAAAAATCAGAAGCCACACGGAAGGAGATGTTGATTTCCGTCCTCTGGTGAGACTGAGTCACGATCTCGGAGCACGAACGCCTCGGCGCCTGCGAGTGTGTGGGGAGGCGGGAGGTGGGGGTGCACGCCCTGCGGTGGCCAAATGGAAAGAAAAAGTGAAAAGGGAAAGTCCACGGTGCTATCGCGCCCGCTGGGCTGCAGCACTCCTGGCGCGCCGTGGCGCACCGAGAGTGATCTGGACCCCCCGGCGGCAGCAGCTGGTGCCATTACCCCAATCGGCACCACCGATGGAAGAGAAGACAGTGGGGCAAAGCCCCCGAAGACACGGCCCCTCATCGGCATCGCCGCCGCAGTCGCCCCGCCTGGTGTTTCCCGACCAGCAGTCCACACCGATGAAGCCCAGTGGGGCCAGAAGCCAGTGTTCCTCAACGCCAAGCAGTGGGGAGACATGGACAGCTGGGAAACAGGACGCACAGCAGTCTGATCTACTCCAGGACTCACCGGCTGCAGGACTGAGCAGACGAGGGAATGCGAAGCTCAGTGCTGCTGTGTCTTGGCTCCACGGGTACCTGAGCCTGCAGCGCACTTGCGCCTGGAACGGATCAACACAGCAGCGCAGGCTGCTCCTTCCTGACCAGCAGCACAGGCCTTGGGTGGGGTGAGGCTTCCACTCCAGGCTAATCAGAGATGAGCCCAGATAAGGTTAAAGAGCTGAACGTTTTGCATTTTCACAGCTCAGTTAAGCTTCTTAGGAACCTGGCGCTGCCCACGGTCCACGAAGGCATTGCCAAAGAGGCCGGCACCCTGCGGCGCAGCTTTAAGGATGACAAGCAGCCCTCATCAGGCTCTGTCAGTCTGCAGCTGACCCCTGACCCCCCTCTCCATCTGGCTGTGCTGGGGCTCACCCCTGACCCAGAGAGTGTGTAACTGTCACGGCAGAGGACCTGCTTTTAAACCGCTGCCCAGGCTCGGAGCCCAGGAGCACCCAGGATCTAATCCCGGCAGGGCCAGGGAGTGCTGCAGGCGCCACTTCCCCACGGGATCCCACGACGCAGGCCGGTGCGCGAGTTTTCAGGGCACTCCCGCTCCGAGACGAAGAGAAGCAGAGCCACTATCGAACACGTCAGGGGAGGCCGGTCTGGGTGATCTCACACACGTGTGGTCAAGGAATGAGGAAGCGCAGATGACCGCGTTTCCCCTTGTGCTCCAGTTTGTGCCGGCGAATGGAAATTCTGGCTGTCACAGGATGGAGTGAGCAAATTCCACAACTCAGGGGGGAATGGCGGGCAGGAGGTCAGAGAGCTGGAGGAGGGGTGGTGTGAGAGAGGCTCCCAGTCGGTTCCCTCCCTGGGCTCGTTTGATGCCCTGTGAGAGAGGTGGGACGGTCAGAACTGAAGCTCTCTTTGTGCATCTTTTACCAAAGACAAGACGTTTTTGAAAGCAGCACTAACTACTATTCACAGCCCCGAAACTTCACCCTGCCCTCCAATCCCTTTACTGCAGCTCTCACGAGTTTCTTACGAAACAAGACCAAATCTCCACGTGCCAAAGTCCTGACAACCTGCTGACTTTCGCACGAAGTTGCTTTTTGGTTCAGCACATTAAAGATGGTGAGGCCCAAGGAAACGATGGTCCAGTACACAGAGGTGTGGGAACCCATGATATACTGCAGGAAACCACAGCACAGGCACATCACAACCTTACCCAAATTCACAACAGCAAGGCTGGTGCAGAAGGGCATTGCTGCAGCTCGATATCTGTGCATATGGCCATCACTGCAGTTATCCAAACAGCAGACACGGTCCTGCGCTTCGACACAGGGAAGCTCGTTAACGCTATCGGGGCTCATCTCTGATTAGGCTGCAGTGGAAGCCGTGGGCGTGAGCTGAACACAATGAGAGGCAGTACAGCATCACAGTCACTGCTTCTCCAGCTGGAAGAAAGCCTGGACAAGCTGCGCTTCAGTGGTAATCGGGACACTAGTCCCTACAACTCCCTGCCGGGATCTGTAAAGGCGATATTGTCGGGAGGCCGGGCTCACGTGGAGC